GATCCCAACGAACATTCCTTCGAGAAGGTTCCTGATATCATCCCTGTGCCTTCCACTGTTTCGGCGTGTATGTGAACACATTTGGGACTAACAGGGTTTACTAGAATCCCACCACTCCACCACAGAGTCACCGCAGTAGACGTGAGATGAGCGCTGTCGCTCCACGGCACTTGTTAGTTAAATTTCATCAATGTTATTTAATATTAATTAAAAACCAATAAAAACGTAATTAAAAAACTGACGGGTTGCAAAAGAGAAAGGAATAGGGAGAGAAAGAAAGAGAGAGCGTGCATGAGAGAAGAGAGCAGAGAGAGCGCGCAAGAGAGAAGAGAGGGAGAGAGAGCGAGAGGGGAGGGGAGGGGGAGATAAAGATGATCACTAAGCAAGAGACATCGAAGAATACGGAGGCGGAGATTGCCAAAGAAACTAAGCTCTGTCCTACAATGACGATTGAATCATCTAGCTAACATATTCTGTGCTGTGCTGTGCAGGGTGCAGGCTAAGAAGCATCCAGCCACGCTGGGAGAGGGCGCTCTGCTGGAGAGTGAGGCGGCCGTCATCGATACCTTCAGCTTCCTGTCGACGGAGAACGACTTGGAAGTCGAGGATGACGAGGAGAAGTGAGTGAAGGGACGCGTGATCACGTAGCAGGGCTTCATCTGTAGAACCCGTAGAAGACAGCAGGAAAACGCTACTCTTATGGCTTGTAATTAGTTTGGGTGGCTGAATGAGAAAATGTCAGATCTCCAGCAGCAGGTGGCATTTAATGAAACGTAGGCGGCAGTCGAACTTGAACTTAATGAATGCAGTTCAATAAAACATGCTCGTTAAATTTGAGCCCCTGAGTCAGCTAATTTGAATACTCCACGGGAGTTATAAATGAGAATTATAAACAGGCGAGACAATCGTTATTGCATCATGAATCCTAATGCTGAGCTGTTTTTAACAACAATGACAACAGCGATTGCAAATGTTTAATGCAGAATATTGATGAAATCCAATAGCTAATTAAATGGTGGTAATGTTTATGCTAGACGTGATCAATTGGCTATTGCATAGCCAATAATGCTTTGTCGAATTTAAACATCGTGTGTAAAAATGCGTGTTTTCTTGCTATGTTTTTCAGTGAGGCGGATCTCATAGATGAGACTCTGGCTGATGAACTGGATAGGATAGATGTAAAGAAACCAAAGCCCAAGGTACGTCTGTTGGGTGCACACAGAGATGCCAACCACTACGATTTATCCGTATTTTATACGAATTTCTATTCCTTTTGCACCACTACGACCAGTTTGTATCAAACTACGAATTTGACTGTGATCGAAAAAAAAAATTTGTCAATTATTGTCATTTTTTTTTCAATTTATTGTTATTTTTGACCCTCAGAATGCAGGAAATTGCATCTCAGAATCAAAAAATTTTCTGGGGGGCATGCCGGACCCCCCTAGCAAACTCGGGTGATCATCGAACTACTAATTTGATGGCCAGAAACTACAGATTGCTTCAAATGTGTGTTGGCATCTCTGGTGCACACCAAATGTAGCCGATGTTGGTTTGTCAGCGGTTTCTTCCTCACACTTGTGTCTCCTTGTTGTTGGTGAACTTAAAATTTGAGATTATTGGGTGTGTGAATCGGATGCGGTGAAGGTTTAAGATTGCGGGAAATTTATTTGTAAAACGACAGGATGACATGATTTTGACAGTCAGAATGGCTATGAACTGTTATTCTAGTTTGAGACATGCATAGTGCATTGTGTGTATGATGCAGGGTGTATTGTATAGAATGCAATACAGCTCACTACAATATAATACAACACAACACAACATAACAAAAAAACAACACTCATACTAAAATCCTTTAAAAATACCACACTAATATGGACGGTTAGCAGAGTAACCAGCTACGGCGGCTATTAGTGATGTCCCTCCCGATGATCGATTATAATCGAAAGTCAGTCGTTTGCAGCAACCGACTAAGCACTCGATTATAAAAATAAATAATCGATTATCAAAAAAAAACATTGTAATTACAATTTTTTTATTATTTAAAATACAGTTTGCAAATATTGATGAAATGACTCTTTATTTTTTTTTTCTGGGTTTTTTCAGTTACTTTACAGCTTGGAGACAGTAAATCTAACCTACACCAAACATAAGCAAGCATAATACTGTTACATATCTTTTAGAATATTGTATTATAAAAATACTGTATTATATATGATATATTTCAATATCTGGTAGCTGCAATCAATGACACTCAACCGATTATCATCGATCATCGATCGGTTGGGTGCAACCGATGATCGATGATGAAATTCCAACCGATTCCCATCACTAGCGGCTATTGATGTCGTCGTCGAGGCCTCATGTTTTCCTCCTCCTGCAGGGCATGACCAGGAGCAACGAGGGCATGGCGCGCATGGACGACGTGCTAGCCAACGAGACCGAGGAGGCACTCTCGCAGTTCGACTTTCTCGGATCGGACGGCGCAGACGGCGCGGGTGAGGCGAGGACGCAGGGCGACGGCACCGAGTGGGGTGAGTCCTCGAGCGGGGTTCGCCGCGGGAGGCACGACGCGTCTCCGATCTCGGACACGCCACGCATGCGTTCGTTAGCACGTGCACCTAACTTTTTCGGCACCGACATGTTTGCAAGTAGCGATTACGTTTGCATGGCTTTGAGATGTAACTACGTATCTGTTTAGCTGGCGTTTATATATGATGTGATTTGTAAGCGTAACGTTTTGCGATTGTAAACGGGAGTATGTAGATCTTACACGCCTGATCAACTGATCGTGAACCTGAGGAGAGAAGTTTGTAAACCGTTTTGCATGCAGAGAAGAGCGAGTTAGCAGCTGCACCGCCCCCTGGCGATAACGATTGGAACGTAGACGAGCAGATGCTGAGCAGGCTCAAACAAGAGTACAGCAAAGACAGCAAACATTCGCGCAACATGCAGAGTAAGTGGCTCCTCCGGGTTGCAGTTCGCCTCACTTGACGAGAGATGCTTCCCTGCTCTGAAGCCAGTCACAGACCTAGATACAGACGGCTTTGGCATTAGTAAATACTTTGGGCTGAACTGACCCACTCGCTACAGAAAAAGGGACAGACAAATTAAAACGAACATGTGAAGAGTACTTGTACATCCTAGAGGAGGCATTCTGCTACTAAATCTGAGTAAAAATAGTCAAGGTTGTGTGTCCGAGTGCCGTGAGAGCTTCTTTCCTTAATACAAATTCCGGTGTCCTTGTCTCTCGTCAGTCGAGATCTTTAGCTTATACGTGTAGATTTTTGTGTGAGCTACAACATCAGTTGCACCAACGTTGCGTACTGGTGAATCATTTCGGGGAATCTGTCTTGTTTTTCTCCGTCCGTTTCAACAGTTCAAAAGTTTAAACTGAAGGCAGGTAAGAATGATACGCTCCTCGGCAGGTAATTGGTACCTGGGTTCTAATTTGCAATTGCAGTTTTTTTATATGGTCATTTCTCTGCTGACTGAGTAATTTCCCCCTTATCGAGTAATGCATCATTTTCTATCAGATTTTTTAGTGAAGTATACTACGAAACTCGACCAAGGTTGTTTGAAATATTGTTAGCCACCAGTTTTTCTCGAAATTGGCATTGCAGGTTTTCTCCAAATAGTGTCGACGTAATTTACGAAACAGATCCGCTTATTGGTACTTTTGTTCCTGTTTCACAGCTCATTGGTTAGTAAAAGAAAGGCCAAGATATAAAATACGTACCGACTAAGGGCTTTCTCTCACTGGTCACAGTTTTTCTCTGATTGGGACAGGCACTGCAATTTCCTCAAAGTCATGATTGTAAACGATACAAGATTTATTTGGTGATATGACTCGTTGTGAAAATACACTGCTTACTATAATATCTTCGTATCTTTACCCCTCTCGCTCTCTCTCTCTCTCTCTCTCTCTCTCTCTCTCTCTCTCTCTTTTCTCTCTTTTTATCGCTCTCTCTTTCTCTCACTCTTTCTCTCGCTCTCACGCTCTTCCTCGCTCTATCTTTCTTTTTATCTATCTCTATCTCTATCTATCTGTCTATCTGTGTCTGTGTGTCTCACTCTCTCCCTCCCTCTCTCTCATGCTTTCCGTCACTCCACCCGCTGCTTTTATTTGTGCATCATAGTGTTATGGTATTACCAGCACTGTTTAGCTACCACGGTAGCGTGTCGCGCACAATTCAGATAGCACATCAGCAATTACCGTCGCACTCTGCTGCTGGCCCTCAGCTCACTCTCATTCATATTTGCCCCCGTAGTTATGATAACGAGTGCACGCGCTGCAGCAGCAGCAGCCATCTCTCACTGTCGTTATGATGAATGTATCTCATCCATCCCTCGTAATGACTCTTCCAGTTTCTAGCGTCGGATCGTGTCACGGCGTGTGTGTGTGGGTGTCGAGGTGGCATTGCGAGCAACATCGCGGGGAAGGCAGAAGGTGTTGCTTGATATTAAAGCATGCACTGCAGCCAAAAATTGATATCAGTAGAGGATCGATTGTGGTGAATAGCATGCTTGCAAGAGTTCCATCCCATCTCTGATTAACCCTTAACCGCCCCCCCCCCCGGGCCCCACAACCCGGAGCATTGGTGTGTCAAGCTTTTGTCGTGTTGGCGGACCATATGTGGCCGAAGGTGGTGTGAGGATCAAACGCCTATGGGTGCGTTGACTGCCCACGTTCACGCGTGACAACCGGTGCCAGGAATTTATTTTGCCTACTAGTGTTTGTGCAGACTGCATGATGGTTTCTACACTAACTAGCCGCAGACGTCAGAGAGACCTGGCTGCATAACCCATCCAGATTGGTGTCAGGATATCGCTTCGTTGACCATTCACGTTTAGCGACAGGTGTAGTAGCATCAAGCGTCATTAGTGCTTTCATGACTGCTGAGGTTTCACTCGAGCTGTAAACAACGGCCTTAAAGCAGGCTGGAGTTGCCTCGCCGCATTTTGGTTTGGTGCAGAGATGCGAAAGAGGGCGCGGATGAAGAAGACGTTGTCATTGATGTAAGCAACAAGCAGAGTGAGCATTAGTTTGCCCCAGGTACAGCAAGAAAGCTGCTGGCTGTTCGACGTTGTGAGGGAAAGCTTTTGGGTATTTCGTAGCGGTTCCCTCCGTACACGGTCAATGCAGCAGGAGAGATGCGAGTGGTAGGCTGTTATTATGTATGGCTGCATTCAGTTGCCACATAGCAGTCACAGTGCGTGGAAGCTTGGACGCGGTAGGTGGCATCATATGCGTATTACACGCACGCACGTATGCATACACACACACACCCACACATGGACATATATGCACACGCGCACACACACAACACTCATGCAGGCACACACACAGAAAGCGCTCAGTGTGGGGATGTTAGGGGATAGTGGGTGGTATTTTTGTTTGTTTATCTGTCACTTATATCACCACTATACTACTTATGCCACTGAGATAAGTAAAATACTCTGATTTGGATGGTGTTCAGTCATTGTCTGCTTTGAAATGTGGAATCTCTTTGACAATCTGACATTCTTGAGGCAATTAGTAGTGTAGTGAGAAAAAAATCTGAACTTGTTGTTGGCTCTGGTTCTGCATTGTTAATGTTGCTGGCTTTCATCACCTAAAGCAATGACTGATTAGCTCATTTTAGATTGCCATCGTGAGGCGAAATTAATTATGCAAGCTACTATTGCATGGGGATTTGACTTAGCACTGCCTCTTATGAAAGAGTTATGATGCATTTATTTTATTTATTACTGGCTCGTGTGTGTATAGTATGTGCATAAGCTGGCATGTGCTTGTACTGATTAGACTGTAGGTGCATGTTAAAATATATGGATGATGAAGCACTGGTAATGTGTCAGTTCCCTGTAGGCACTGAGTGATGTGTTGGAATGACTCACTCAATAGTGTGTGCACGTAGCAGTGGGTACGTTCAGCCCAATTATAACACTGAGCACATGCAATACTTTTTATTAGTATTGTGTTTGAGATTTTGTTGCTTTAATCTTCACCATTATAAAATGTTTCTGCACACTGTCAGATGGACGGTTTCTTACCAACAAACGTTCACTAGTTTTTCACAAGTGCAACTAATAATTTCTATGCGAATTTTAGAATTGTTTGCAAAATATATCATTCCTCGCTTGATTATCTTAATATTTTCACGTAACTATCAAGTATGGACGCGAATCGGAATTGGAAACAAGTGAACGCCTGTTGGTAGAAAGCCGTGCTCGATTCTCTGCATGACGTAGTTGTGAGTGCATGTGCGTGTCGCCGCTAGCCCTGCATGTTGCATGTTTGCAGGGCCTAAGCGCTCGACCCTGCAGGCGATGCTTGCCAGTCTGGGTGGAAACGATGATATTGGGCTGCCCAGCGTCACAGCCCCATGCGCGGGTCCGGCACCCGCCGCCGCCGCCGCCGCCGCCGCCACCGCCTCCGACAGTTTGTCAAATAGCCTCCCTGCAGATGACACTGCTGTTGATGAAGCAGGTGATTTTGCCTGGAGCTGAGGCTTGGGATGCGTGGTCACTGTGGTGCCCCCCGAGCGTTGTTAAATTCGCAGTCAAGTCGGGGGGAGGGGGAAGTCCCAGGCTGTAAGCTAACGTACGTGTCGTGGTTGGGTGTTCACGCATTCGTGAAGCTACGTACGTGCGTGGCTTGGTGTGTTCACCTTCATGTAGTCTACGTACGTGCGTGGTTGGTGTGTTCACCCTTCATGTAAGCCTACGTACGTGCGTTGGTTGGTCCGTTGTTATTGTATTCACCAAGCCTTCATGTAAGCTACATACGTGCGTGGATTGGTATGCTCACCTTCGTGTAAGCTACGTACGGGCGTGGTTGGTGTGTTTTACCCTTCATGTAAGCTACGTACGTGCGTGGTTGTTGTGTTCACCCTTCATGTAAGCTACGTACGTTGCGTGGTGGTGTGTTCACCCTTCGTGTAGCTACGTACGTGCGTGGTTGGTGTGTTCACCCTTCATGTAAGCTACGTACGTGCGTGGTTGGTGTGTTTACCCTTCGTGTAAGCTACGTACGTGCGTGGTTGGTGTGTTCATCCTTCGTGTAAAGCTACGTACGTGCGTGGTTGCGTGTGTTTACCCTTCATGATAGCTACGTACGTGCGTGGTTGGTGTGCTACCCTTCCATGTAAGCTACGTACACGGCGTGGTTGGTGTGTTCACCCTTCATGTAAGCTACGGTACGTGCGTGGTTGGTTGTGTTCACCCTTCTGTAAGCTAGCTACGCGGCGTGGTTGGTGTGTTTTACCCTTCATGTAAGCTATCGTACGTGCGTGGTTGGTGTGTTCACCCTTCATGTAAGCTACGTACGTGCGTGGTTGGTGTGTTTCACCCTTCATGTAAGCTACGTACGCGCGTGCTTGGTGTGTTCACCCTTCATGTAAGCTACGTTACGTGCGTGGTTGGTGTGCTCACCCTTCATGTAAAGCTACGTACGTGCGTGTTGGTGTTTTTACCCTTCGTGTAAGCTACGTACGTGCGTGGTTGGTGTGTTCACCCTTCATGCAAGCTACGTACGCGCGTGGTTGGTGTGTTCACCCTTCATGTAAGCTATGTACGTGCGCTGGTTGGTGTGTTCACCCTTCATCGTAAGCTACGTACGTGCGTGGTTGGTGTGTGTCACCCTTTTCATGTAAGCTACGTACGTGCGTGGTTGGTGTGTTCACGCCCTTCATGTAAGCTAACTACGCCCGTGGTTGGTGTGTTTCACCCTTCATGTAAGCTACGTACGTGCGTGGGTGGTGTGTTCACCCCTTCATGTAAGCTACGTACGTGCGTGGTTGGTGTGTTCACCCTTCATGTAAGCTATGTACGCGCGTGGTTGGTGTGTCAACCCTTCATGTAAGCTACGTACGTGCGTGGTTGGTGTGTTCACCCTTCATGTAAGCTACGTACGTGCGTGGTTGGTGTGTTCACCCTTCATGTAAGCTACGTACGCGCCGTGGTTGTGGTTTCACCTTCATGTAAGCTACGTACGTGCGTGGTTGGTGTGTTCACCCTTCATGTAAGCTACGTACGTGCGTGGTTGGTGTGTTCACTCTTCATGTAAGCTACGTACATGCGTGGTTGGTGTGTTCACCCTTCGTGTAAGCTACGTACGTGCGTCGGTGTGTGTTTCACCCTTCATGTAAGCTACGTACGTGCGTGGTTGGTGTGTTCACCTTCAATGTAAGCTACGTACGCGCGTGGTTGGTGTGTTCACCCTTCATGTAAGCTACGTACCGTGCGTGTTTGGTGTGTTCACCCTTCATGTAAGCTACGTACGTGCGTGGTTGTCTGTTTACCCTTCATGAAGCTATGGACGCGCGTGGTGGTGTGTTTACCCTTCATGTAAACTACGTACGTGCGGTGGTTGGTGTGTTCACCCTTCATGTAAGCTACGTACGTGCGTGATTGGTGTGTTTTCACCCTTCATGTAAGCTACGCTACCGCGCGTGGTTGGTGTGTTTACCCTTCATGTAAGCTACCGTACGTGCGTGGTTGGTGTTGTTTTACCCTTCATGTAAGCTACGTACGTGCGTGGTTGGTGTGTTCACCCTTCATGTAAGCTACGTACGTGCGTGGTTGGTCTGTTTACCCTTCATGTAAGCTATGTACGCGCGTGGTTGGTGTGTTCACTCTTCATCTGAAACTAGTACGTGCGTGTTGGTGTGTTCACTTTCATGTAAGCTACGTACGTGCGTGGTTGGTGTGTTCACCCTTTATGTAAGCTACGTACGCGCGTGGTTGGTATGCTCACCCTTCATGTAAGCTACGTTCGTGCGTGGTTGGTGTGCTCACCCTTCATGTGTGAGCTGCACTTGTAGAAATTTTATGAATCAAGATTATTTTCTAATTAATCACTTATAAGTTCTTAAATCTGCCGTGTGTGTATCAATGTGGTTTTTCACGGAAAAAACACCGTGTTGTGTTCACTGTTTGTGACAGTGGTGTTTTTCTCTCATAACAACAATTAGTGTTTTTAATAAAGCTGGACCAAACGATGCCAACATCCCGTTTCCAGCAGGACCGCGGCGCCCCCTGCCAGCCGAAGAAGGTTTTGAGCCAGGTTTTGGCCTCGGAGAACTGGCAGGGCTGACAATACAGAACGATTGCGAGCTATCTTACGATGTAAGTGTTCCCGTGTTCAGCAAATACGTAGATCATTTACTACGTCACGTAATTTGATAAGTGCCCTTGGAGTGGGACTTACTTAGGTCAGGTAAATTTCTATTAATATATCGATTTGAGTGGCACACGTATTGTCTGTAATATTCACTAGCACTAACGCTGACCAGGGTCGTATTTACGCATCCGCACGCTGAACTCATGCCATCTTGTCGGCCTCCCGCAGCTTTCATCGAGCAAGGATGCCCTACGCAAGACGTGGAATGCCAAGTACACGCTGAGGAGTCACTTTGATGGCATCCGAGCGCTAGTCTTCCACCCCGTCGACCCTGTACTCATCACTGCCTCCGAGGACCACACGCTGAAGCTGTGGAACCTGGACAAGACCGTACCCGCAAAGAAGTAAGGCTTCATCGTCTGTCGTCGTGACAACCCGAGAATTTTCTGGTCGTCTTCGCGACACAGATTTGGTTTTGATACCGGACTAGCACCGTTATAATTATATAAAATCGTAGAGTTTATTTCGCGGTTATTGTGATATAAATATATGAGTTATGATGGTAATGTTCTAGTCTCTTGTTTTTTTTGCTTGCAGAACTGCCTCATTAGATGTAGAGCCTGTCTACACATTCAGAGGGCACACGTGAGTAATCTTCCACACACAGCTAGTAATAGGCTACTATAGTAGAGACTGCACGTAGCTTGACCCCTGCACATATAGTCTAGCTCTCTCGCGGAATATTTTGTGCATGGTTCACCAGGAGCAGTGGGTAGTATGAGAGCGCAAACGATATTCATAGCACTTGAGTTTTACAAATTCTGGACGAATTCCACTCCCAAATTATTTCTGTCCTAGATTGGCACATATGTTAAACTGAGATTGGTGAGCTGATCAACGATTCAAGTTTCAGTCGTTGTTATGTTGAACTTGCCTCGTATTTTCTTCCCTTTTAAAATTGGGAATGTCAACCAATTGCCCTACTTTTAGTTTTGCACAAGTTGGTACTAATTGCTTGAGGATGGTACTGAGAATTTTAGTGTTGAAACGGACCCCTGACATTTGAGATATCATAGTGATGGTTCACATGGTGATAGCTTAATCTGAAAATACCAAATATCCTGTCTATATAAGCTTCTTCTTCCTGCATGTAATTGTGTATGATTTATCCATGGAATTCAGTTTCATTTATTAGCATTGAAAAAGTCACAAAATCATGATAAATCATCATATATACCTCCTGTATTAGCACTGTGAAGCATAGAAAGTTAAATTGCAATAAACATTCTGTATAGTTAGTACTCAGCCTCAAGTGTCATATAGTTGCCTAATTAAAACACACACATGGATATTCGGTAAATAGCTTTTGGTTTGCGTAGTTGAAAATTTAATATTCTCTCTCCTCTCTTCTCTCTCCTCTAAATCCTGGAAAGATTTCCTCTGTAACCTCATTAAATAATAAATAATATGAATTTATGCAAAAATAGACAGACCTATTGGAATATTGCTGCACATGATGGCTTGAAATGAAAATGTGCTTGGACCACAGTACGCATTGCGAAAGTTGCTCTGTTGGTACATGCATATAGCTACATTTTATTTCATCTACGTAGATACAATGGTCACCTTTGAAACGTTGTAGCAAGTGAAGCTAGCTTTCAGCTGTCGTTCGGCTTACAGGGGCGCTGTCCTGTCATTGGCCATGTCTGTGTCAGGCGAGGAATGCTTCAGTGGAGGTATTGACTCGAGCATTCGCTGCTGGAAGATCCCCAGCTCCAATGTTGACCCCTATGATATGTATGGTGAGCCTTAACGAAATTGAATTGAAGCGATTGCAGGGCGAGAGATTGATTCCTTCAGATTTAAATTGTTTAGCCAATGTGACAGATTTTGGTGTAAAATGGAACAATAAATATTTATGTTAGGTGTATTAGAGTCTTGATCATAATTTTTTGATTATGTATCACTCTAGTTCGTCTTCTTATATCATGTAGTACTTTTTAGAATAGAATCAGAATTTTTAGAAACGGCCAATAGAAGCCGTTTTAAAAATCGTATTCATTGCAGACCCATCAGTCTTAGCCGCAACACTTACTGGTCACACTGGTGCTGTCTGGGGCCTCTCTGTGCACAGCAGTAATAACCGGCTACTGTCCTGTGCATCGGACGGCACCGTGCGATTATGGCAACCATACACTAAAGAACCACTACTGAAAACGTTCACTAGTGAAAATGGTAAAATTATATATTTAGGCATCTAAGTATAGTCTAGTTTAGTCTAAGTCTATGCCTGTCTATTACTTAGCTTAAACATTGTGGCCAAACCAGAGTAGCGCTTTTAACGGCATGCATTTAATGATGAACCAGTTATTGAGACATAGTGTGTATAAAATGGTATAGTATTGTACAGCGTGTATATTATAGTTTTATCACTGATGTAAAAGAACGAGTGGACCAAGATGATAATTGCCACGTCAACTCTTGCATGCCGCGCTGCTGGCGGGCGGTGGCCTTAATGTTGACGATATTTGGCAACATTCCAGGTCTCATACCCACCTCGATAGACTTTGTGCGGTCAGATCCGATACAGATGGTCGCCGCGTATAGCGATTGTGATGCAGTCATCTACGACTTGGAGACCTCTCAGCCAGTCATTCACCTGGAGAGCAAGGATTTGTCAGGTAAGTGCCCATCATGGTCAGAGTCGTGCACCTGAGCCTCTTGCTCTGCAGTGTAATCTATGTCAAGGTGACCTCAACCAGCTAAATGGGGATGTATCCCAATGGTTAAGATTTGTGAACACTTGTATGATGGGATTACTTGATGGCTCTATACTGATCAGCGATGCTTTAGCTTCTGGTTTATCCCCGATGATCGAATTGTCTCGTTTTATAATTTGTGCAGAGCCGGGTGTTCTGTCAACGATACATCAGGTGGTTAGTCACCCGACCCTGCCCATTACAGTGACAGCACATGAGGACAGGCATATCCGCTTCTTTGACAATAATACAGGTAGGCGGTTTAATCAGCCCACTGCAACAAATGCGGCTTTATTGTGCTGAGGACTAACGTCTTGCTGTACGATCATTTTTACACACGTGTGTGCGTGCAGGAGTGTATGTGTAATGTCAAATCTCACACATCTTAAACTTATACAGGGGCTATCGGTGCAAAACTAAGACATTTAATTGGCAAGTGGTCAATATATTCTCACGTGTTCGTTTCATATACTGTATTATGAATAGCATAATGAAATAGTGCCATTATATATATATATATATATATATACATATATATGCCATTGTTTCATTATGCTATTCATGTATGTATTGTTCTCTTCGTTACAGGTAAGATGGTTCACACGATGGTGGCACACCTGGATGCCGTGACGAGTCTCGCCATCGATCCCAACGGCTTGTACCTGCTATCAGGAAGTACGTAGCAACGTCGTGACATCATTGCACTCGCAACATACACGTTTGCTTATCATTCGGGATTTAGAAAACTAGCAATGACAGTTGGTAGATTAATTTGGGGTTCATTGGTACGAGTAATTTTGCGAATCTGTGTGAAGTGATGCGAAACATTTGTACCGTTATTCCAAGACTGGTATAAAAATCCAGTTTGTATTTGAATGTTCAGTGTGATTGGATTCATCGTGCCTTTTCACTCGTTAGAATCAAGATTGATTGTAGATTGTAAATTTATTATTATTTGAAACGCGTCTGTGTTGATACTATCGCAAATACAGTGTAACAATGTTTGTTGTTTGTGCTTTAGGCCATGACTGTTCAATAAGACTATGGAATCTGGATAGCAAGACATGTGTACAAGAGATCACATCACATCGCAAGAAGTTTGATGAATCCATATATGATGTGGCTTTCCATCCGTCTCGACCCTACATAGCAAGTGCGGGAGCAGACGCGCTCGCGAAAGTATTCGTATGACATCATCGTTGACATTGCCTAAGTCTGTGACATTATTTATCACGTGATCACCAATGGTGAAGCAAGTCGATTATGATCAGTCATCGTTTGCTGTAATGATACTTAGGTATGACAGTATTGTTATGACGGTATAAATATATTAAAGGACGTGTCACTTGTAAAATATGAAATGCACAGTTGAATATGCTCACTGCCTCTGGAGTGTAGGTTGGCATGCCAGTTTTCTTCCCCTGCCAGCAGACTGGCCGTTCCTGCCGACTCGGATCAGCTCACCACAAAATGACCTAAACCAGGACATTAGGTAGTCATTGTACTACTCGGGCGAGTTTGCAAGAAAATACTGGAAGTGGAACTGTTGTTTGCACACGTCACTTTGAGTGACATAACGGTATTCTGACGACTACGTGCACAAAGTGCTTGACATTACACACAGCATGATCGCCTTTCGAAGGTTGGGACACGTAGGAGGAGCTTGTGTGCTTCGGCGTCTATGTGAAGTTTACGAGCATGCGTGATAGACATACGAACATTGTGTGATGTAAGGTGGTTGAGTCACAATGCTTGTGAATTAAGACAATGCTGTTTTTATAATGATATCAACGAGGGAAAAGAAGAGCTGGAAGGGGAGAGAGGGGAGAAAGTAATGTACAGGAGTGGGAGAGCGGAGGAGAGAGGGAGTGAGAGAGAATGCTAATAATTTGCTGACGAAACCCAATAACGTCAGAGGATGTAAGTATGAAGGTGCAGGCAGACTCTTGTAGTATGCTTCTTTTGACACCAGGTGGTGTGATTTCGCCGGAGATATGATAGCTTTAATAGACTTCAGGGTGTCTTCCATACTTGTGAGGTCTCATCATGTGATTCATGCTAAACACGAAAACTATATATACACTGTAATAAGTGAATGGTAGATAAGTGGGTAGCACATACACTAGCTATAACAATCAAAATATCCAATAATGTGGATAGATATGTTACGATGTGTTTTTTGGGGTTGTATATAATAACATTGAGGGTAAGACTAATGGAAATGGTTTTTATCTGCAAGTCTCGTCCAGAAATAAACCTGCTATAGTTTCTGATTATACTCATGTGAAGAAATATGACAAATCCAAACTGGTAGAACGAATGTTTTCTCTTGGTGACTGCTAGAATGTTCGATCTTACAAAGGCACTCATAGTACTTGGACCTACAGTCTGACAGTTGCCAGAGAATAAAATAACAAGTGTTATTCTAGCAATGAATATTTATATGTTGTTCCCATCTGTGTCTATCGTTGCAAGTAAGCAGCATGATAACGAAGCGACGATTGCAGTGACAGAGTTGACTGCTCAGTCTCAAGTTGAGTGCTAGGCGTTATGATTTTACCTGTAAGCTTTCAATTATTTAAAACAAAATTCATTCGCGTCACGATGGGTACGGCACTGTGCCAACGTGTGTATACAGCAGACAGCATTCGCGAGCCAGGGACTAATGTTCACATTGTTTAGCGACAGCACTCGTCATTGATTCCTCATACATTTCCCAGAAGCAAATTCTATTTCTTGTCCGTTTATGGCACGTTACAGGAATGAACCAACCTGCATGTGTCTCGCAGTAGCAGCCTGCCGTTACTGATAGGAAGTCGTGTCCTAGTTCGACACACTTCAACTTATATTCAGTAGGCGTGTTAAGATGGGCAATTATGGATGTGGGTGCATGCTCCAGTAAACAAATTTGTGGTCACTGTTTAATGAAACCATCAATGACCACTGTCACGCAGGTGAAGTGACATTGCTTGCACCCGCATTATGGGGTGTGTCAACTGTTGGGTGAGTGGAGGACATGCCTCGTATCATCACATTGTCTAAAAGCACTTTCTTGTGCTTTCATCAGTCGATCCCTATAGTAACCAGAGACTACTGCGTCGCGACTCGTTGAGCATGTGATTGTTAACTATACAGAAGTCTGCGTACAGACATCGCAGGCTGTAATAAATCTTAAGTGTTTAGTAATATCATGTAATGGTGCTCGTCTTGTTTTCTGTGTATTAGCATTAATAAATAGAATCTTAAGAAGATGACGTATAAAACTTGCTTACACGCAGTAAAAGGGCGATTGAAGATCGTTTTTATAAACAACGTGATAAGGACGTTTTATTTTCCCACTGAATAATTACTATACATAACATCTGAACATAAACCACATTCACTACTAGTAGCCCCTTTCCCTTCCCACCCCATTCCCCGCAGCACCCTGCCCGGCAGTTGGAGCAGGTTTACGTAATTTCACAATTTACCAGAACAGGAATTGCTCTAGGATTTCTCCATAGCTTTACAAACATCATTAAAACCCAACATTCGCAACTAACAGGTAGTAAAAATTATAGAGTTATATTCAAGAAGAATATTTGGGATTACAATGGTATTTTGGTAAGTTTTCCAAGCAGGTAAACATGACAACCATTGCATTACTTCTAAACTAAACTCCCATATACTTCATTATAATTTGTCCAAATATGTTCTTACCACAGTCGGTCTTCACAAACTGCAGAGACAATTTTAGACCAAATGTAATAAATGAATATGTGGCATTTAATGGCAAACCTCCAAAGGAAATAACCTATGCCATGAGACGAGTGTAACAATTCTTCACAAACGTGTCCAAGTGTCACCTGAATAAAACTGACATATAAATGCGATTAGAGTTACAGTCCATGTGACTCTTGTTATATTGTTGTTTGTTCTTTTATGCACCTATGTGCTTGACATATATAGCTGACTATCATTTACAAAATATTATACATTACATAAAATGCATGTTGATGAACATTTACAACTTTTATAAGAAGGGCTCAATGTGTGACTGAGTGGCATCAACACAATCGTAATGTCGAGATGGGAGAGGTTATGTTCATATGTAAAAATGTTTTTATAGCATTACAACACGGCCTGACCTCTAAACATAGATTGATACCACTCAAAAATACACTAGTCCACACTAAGTTGGACAATCCGACCACAGTACAGCGCTCATAAAAAAGGTGGAACATGAATTAGCTTAACTTTTACCAGTTTCATGTCATTAGCTCTTCATTTGGCTTTAGACGAATCATTGCATGCAAAGTTATCGAGGCTTGCGCAGTATATTACAGGTATATACAGGTGGTGCCACCACTGATGATGCACTACATGAGGCAGTCATATTAGTCCTCTGCGTTTCTTGTAAGCTTCGAGGTTGAGGGAGCGGCCGGGTGCGGTATCCCTAATGGCCGGGGATGGTTTGGCAGCCACAGCGGATGTGGTGGCTACAAGAACAGCAATGATACACTATTATACCATGGGTCGAAATCCTAACGGGCCCGATGCCCATATTTTAAGGCTCGGGCCTGACATTTCTAATACTAGCAAGCCCGACGGGCCAGTAGAAAATCGATGTGCACATTCTATTGCCGTAGTGCAAGCCAGCCAACAGTTAAGAAAGAGTCCCGAGAGTAAGGACACCAGGGAGCAGGGAAAAAAATATTATTTATTTTTCGGGGGCTACTTTTCAAACTCGCGTGCATGAAATAGCACTCTAAAATTTGGTTTGCATTGAACTCTATGCAAATTTACTGGGGCTCTTTTTGGCATTTCCGGGGCTCTTTTTGGCATTTCGGGGGCTAAATCGCCCCGAGCCCCCGTGTATTTTTTTCATTGCCAGGGAGGACAATGAGAATTCTGACAGCTCATTAGTAGTCACTGAATATGTTCTTTGTATTACTGTAAATAAGCCATTGTAAAAAAATTCAACTTTCAGTCTTTATTTTTTTTTAATTCTGCGGTATCTGCGGAATGATACGGGCCTGTAATTTGCCTGTCGGGCCTGTAAAATCCCTTACCTACAGGCCCGACTGGCCTGTAAATTTTCAAATTAATTTCTACCCCTGTATACTATACAGGGTGTGTCAAGTCTGTTGCAGTAACTAGACTTCGGACAAGGAACTGAATTTGGTGTTTTGTTTTCAAGGGAATGAAGCTTACTGCAACATTCAGTGACCAAAGATGGGTGTGAAGAAAGACCGGAAGAAGGTTATTGCATTAACTGGTTTTCAGTATCAATGGTTAATTATTATGTTATTAGACACGTAAATGCACCTGAAACATCTCACACATCTTTAAAATATTACTTTATATTTTTTTTTAATTTCGATACTAGTTTTACTGATTCAATACTAATCCAAACTGAGTGTATAACACATCTTCATTTGCAAAAATTTGAACAACATTAAATCTTAAAACATATTTGAACCGCAGCTGCTGATGCTTACCTATAGGTGGGACCTCAAGATCTATCTTGATATCAAAATCGTGTGCAGAGAACAGGTCTTCCTGTGAAGGGCCCGGCAGGGGATCGCCTTTTCTAATGGACTTACCCTCGCCAGTACTCGTGAACATATCCAGCTGCAATAACCACAGCAACAAGTTTGCTTGCTGAAGCTAGAATGCACCTTGAGCATTCGAACAATCATCTGGCAACATTATAAATGAGATAATTGTGTGAATGAGTTTCAACAGAATAGTTCACACTATTGGAAGCGGTTAAAAACCAGGGAACAATAGTTAGATAAGGGTTTGTCAACTTACTCGCACGATTTAGACAATGTATTCTACTAGTAATACAATCATACCAGCACGTATTCCTACACTGCTGCCAAGCTGGTATTAAAGACCACATGCTCTCGTAATTATTACTTTGATTAATTTCACAATACTGGAAACACCACATAGTTTCATTCTCACGCTGTCTGAGAAAACACACATTCTACTGGCACTCACTGACGTGCCTCCATGTGCTGGACAGTCATGCCTTACTGAAATGCAGGGGCGTGTACAGGGGGGGGGGGGGGTCAAGGAAGTCCGGACCCCACCACTGCTCACGCAGAAAACGCATCTAAGGGGTCTAATTTCA